CTTTTTTAAATCTGATTGTGATAGGGTTGCACTAACCACAGATTGTTGGACTTCAATTCAAAATCTTAGTTACATGGCCATAACTGCACACTTTATTGACAATGCATGGATCTATCATAAAAATATTATTAGTTTTAGTTTAGTTCCAAATCACAAGGGTGACACCATTGGTAAAAAAGTGGAAGATGTTTTGAAGGAATGGGGGCTTAGGAAAGTGTCAACAATTACCCTTTATAATGCAACATGTAATGATGTAGTTGTTTCTTACTTAGGAAAAAGACTTAAGAGCAAGAATTCTTTAATTGGTGTCGGGAGTTTTTTGCATATGAGGTGTGTTGCCCATATCTTAAACTTGGTTGTGAGAGATGGACAAAAAGATCATGAGTTGGCTATTGAAAGTGTTCGCGATGTTGTTAGGTTTGTGGGGTCCTCGCCACAAAGTGCTTTGAAGTTTAATGAATTTAAAGAAATTGTAGGGATAACATGTAAAAGAAAACTTGGTCTTGATGTTTCCACACGATGGAATTCCACTTACTTGATTTTGGATGCTGCTGAGAAGTTCCAAACAGCATTTGAAAAGTTAGAGGATGAGGATCCTAGCTACATGGAGTTTTTTGAACTTTCCGGTCCACCTTGTTCTACTGATTGGGAAAAATCTAGGGCTTTTGTGATTTTTTTTAAAAACATTCTATGAAGCAACCAAATTATTTTCATCTTCGCAAGAAGTGTCGTTACATTTCCTTTTATAACTTGTCTGATATTTTGTGTAAGCTTCAAGAAGCGTCCTTGAACATGAATACCTATGTGGCTCCAATGGTTTCTAATATGAGGACCAAATATGATAAATATTGGGGAGATGTTGAAAAAGTGAATCATTTTATCTATTTTGGAGTGATCTTTGACCCTAGGTTTAAGTTCGGTTATGTTGAATGGTCTTTCAATGACATGTATGGGGTTGGTAGTGAACTTGCTAAGAAAAATGTTGAGTGTGTAAAAAAAAAGTCTATATAAACTATATAATTGGTATAAATTTGAGCATGATAAAAATGTCGGGGCTGCCCTCTTAGATGCACCATCCGGGAGCACTTTCCATGGAGAAACATGCACCCAAACTAGAAAACCATCACTTTTTACAAGGGCTGATGCTTTTAAACAACACTCGAAAGAGAAAGACACGGTTGATAATCAAAATGAACTAGAGAAGTAATTAGGAGACCCTTGTTGGGGAGATGCTGGAAATTTTAACATTCTTAAATGGTGGAAGGAGAATTCCACATGTTATCCTATATTAGCTACTTTGGTTAGGGAAGTTTTGGCAACACCCGTTTCAAGTGTAGCATCCGAAAGTGCTTTTAGTACTGGGGGTGAATTTTAGACATGTGTCAGAGCTCTTTGAGTCCGGCAATGGCTGAGGCGCTTATTTGTTCTCAAAACTGGTTGATGCCTTCTAACGAGAACGACTTAAGAGTCCTTGATCTGCTTGAAGAATATGACATAACTGATTCTATAGTTTCAGGTACTTTATGAAACAAAACTTTATCTTTTTTAATATTATTTTAATAACTTTAGCCTCACTATATTTTTGGCATCTTGCAGAGTTTCGTGTTGGTGTTACCGTTGGAGCAACTGCTCCTGGGCAGGTTGGGCCTGTTTAAATCACCTTTTGGTATATGCTGAATTTTTTCTATTGTATATGCAGCCAATATATATATATATATATATATATATATATATATATATATATATATATATATATATATATATATATATATATATATATATATATATATATATATATATATATATATATATATATATATATATATATATATATATATATATATATATATATATATATATATATATATATATATATATATATATATATATATATATATATATATATATATATATATATATATATATATATATATATATATATATATATATATATATATATATATATATATATGCAGCAAACATTATATTGTATGTGCAGTCATTCAGAACATGTCTCCATCATTTAAGAATTCAATATTCTATTGTATATGCAGCCATACTAAACCATTTTCTCTCTTGTACTTGCAGCCACTTTTTGAATTTTTTTGGAGTCTTGAATGACTCATAATATTAAAACCATTATAATTAGTAAATCAGTTTTGAAGCCATGACTCGTAAAATTTTGGGGCAACCACTATTGGTTTCATAGTAATTCAGTGTCGGAAGTTTGTTTTGGGTACGAAATCCATGTTACAATTGCTTTACATGTAATAATTTTTTTGTCATAAATTACTTTATAAAAGATAGAAATTATGTTTCTTTTTTAAATTTAACAATTAAACCCCTTAAATTGCTAATATTTGTTAAATGTATTTCTATTTGTAGCAAATCCAATGCATGATGAAATGAGAACACCTATGTGTGATCGTGCTCGAAAGCCTTGTGCGCCAACGAAATATTTTTTGGTATTTTTGGTACCTTCCTTCACTGTGTAAATGTTTGTTTGAGTTTAACTTCATCTTATAATATCTTATATCATGTACATTGAAATTGATGTTTGATAAGGTAACTCGCGTGGAGTTGAAGAAGGTAGTTCTCCTGGAGTTGAAGAAGATAGTTTGCAAGGAGTGAATCAAGGTATGCTTGAGTGTTTTTTAAGTGCATGGGTGTTTTGTAAGTATGCTTGAGTGAAATCTTATGCTTATTTGAATTACTGTCAAATATCTTGTGCTCTGCTGCTATCATTATTTTTTTTTGCTTATCACATGACTTAAGAATATATAGACATATTTTAAGTAATAATTTTTACCTTATTTCAAATATCTTGTACTTATTGAACAATTTTTGTTTGTCAAATATACTTGCTTCTACTTTAAACCAAAAACTTTTTCAAACTACATTTGTATTTTGTTTAACTTATATTTATTTAAGTTATTTGATACGGTCATCTATTGCTATTGTTACGGTGTTAGCTTATTACTATTGTTATGATGATATCTTATAAAAACTATATTGATTGATTATAAGAGTAGGTTCAGCAGTTGAAATGGTTCAATGTTTCAACTTTCTTATAGTTCAAAGAGCAGGTAAAACATACTCAAAATGTTTCAACTTATTTTTTTGCTTTCAGGTTTGTATGCGCTGGAGATTTGTATACATGTTTCAATTTGTTTTTTGCTTTCAGGTTTGTATGCACTGCTTTAAGGTTAATATGGATAATATTAGTGTGTAGAATTAGAACCATGGCTTAAGTTTGTATGCACTGCAGAATCATCTGATGAAAAATGAAACCTTTATGCTCTAATGATAAAAAAAAATGCATGTAACATTTCTTTGAAACATAGGTAGGATTTATCACTTCAAGGTTTTTTACTATTTTCTGTGAAAAATTTGAATGAAATATTTTCTTGTTGTAAAATGAAATGCTCTTATGTTTTTCAATCAAAAGAACATTGATAGTGTGTGAAATTTCCAGGTATCGATTTCTTTTGATTCAAGGTGATCACAAACTTTCCTTTGAGAGTTAGTTTTTGGACAACTTGACATATGGGATTGAAGTTATTCACAATTCTGCTTTTTGTTGAAGAGCATTGCCACTTGGAGATACCAGAAGAAGGCTTTTTTGGGACTTCCATTCATGGAAGATTTTCTTACTGATAGTGTTTGTTCATGATGATTGAGTTTTGCAGTTGTTATTAGTTGTGTTTGAAATTTGAATACTTGCCTTGTATTATACATTTTGGAATCTGATACTTTGCTTGTCTTTGGATTTTATTCTAGCTAAGAAAATGCTATGAACACATGTTAGTAGAAATCTTTATGCCATATATATATATATATATATATATATATATATATATATATATATATATATATATATATATATATATATATATATATATATATATATATATATATATATATATATATATATATATATATATATATATATATATATAGAAGAAATGAGATGACATTTTGTAGGTTAATTGAAGTTTAAGATGCCTTCTGTTCGAAGAGACTAGCAAATTTTTTGATGGCATCCATAAAATCAACCAACACTCCTGTTTGTTTCAATTCATCTTTGAAACTGAAAATCTTCTCCCCATAAAATTTACGATCAATAACAGGAAGATCATCGAATACCTCCAAAATGCAGCCCCATACTCGGTTAACCAAACAAACCGATCCATTTTAACCGATCAATCAATTAAACCGATCCGATCAAACCGATTAAAACTTCAGTCGGAATTGAACCTACCAAATCTACCCATGATTTTGACCGGTTTGACATATTGGGCCCGCATCCAATCCAAACTGCGGATGTCTAGCCCTAGTGACTATAATAGAAATGAGAGTCAATTAACAAATTTATTACTATGGTTTAATATTTAATTATGGAGAGAGAGTCAATTTAATATTAATATAATCAATTAATCATTTAATATTTCTTATCCAGTACTTCTGGAACTTTGGTTAAGTACCCTTGATTTAATGTATTTATATTATAATTAAAATTAAAAATATTAATGAGATATAAATTAATATGACATGACATCTCCTTTTATATATATATTAATTAACAGATTGTACAATTTTGACCATTAAAATTTGGATTTATCTCATAATCAGTATTTTCATAAGGGCAAAATAGTGTTTTCACTGACCAAGTGTAGGAGGACCATGCGAGATAACTGTCGCTAAAAAGTCGTGGCGTGCTAGCTGGACTGGCATCTCACTGGCCAATCAATTATTAAATTTCGTCCACAATTTGTCCTCAAATTTGATTGGTCATTTATCATGCAAGGCATCTTTCCCGAAATGATGATAATTGAAACAAAATCGAAATTGGCATTGTCCATACAAACTAAAGTGAAGTCATCTTATATGTCAACATAATAAATATCCCATTTTTCATCTTCAAAAAATAAAATAAAAAAATCCAATTCCTTCATTATAAATAGTGCAGTGATCGGGGAAATCATCATATTATTAGAGAGATGGCAGAACTTTTTGTGAATCAGGGAAAAGAATATGCAAATGCAAGGCCAAGTTATCCACCACAACTCTTTCAATTTATAGCTTCAAAAACTCCTTCTCACAACCTTGTTTGGGATGTCGCCACCGGAAGTGGCCAAGCCGCCAAATCTGTATGCTTTCTCTTCCATCTCCAATCAATGACAATTTTGTATTCGTAATGATATTTATAATTATATTTAATTTATTTTATTTTTTAAAATTATTATTAGAGGGTAGATGTGTCTTTGTCATGTTTCTTTTGTCACTGCTTTGTAACTAACAAATCCTAATTCATGATTTCAGTTAGCTGATTTATACAAGAATGTGATAGCCACTGATGTTAGTGAAAAACAGCTTGAATTTGCAACCAAACTCTCTAATGTGAAATACCAACACACTCCTTCAACAATGTCAATTCCTGAGGTTGAACAAATTGTAGCACCACAAGGAACCATAGACCTTGTCACAATTGCTCAAGGACTTCATTGGTTCAACCTCCCAAATTTCTATGAACAAGTCAAATTTGTACTCAAAAAGCCTCATGGAGTGATTGCTGCTTGGTGTTACTTTTTGCCAAGAATTAGTGATGAAGTAGACATTGTCTTTGATCAATTCTATTACACTGATTCAAAACCTTATTGGGATTCGGCGCGAAAATTGGTTGAGGACAATTATAGAAGCATTGATTTTCCTTTTGAGGCGGTGGACGGAGTTGATCATACGGGGCCGTTTGAGTTTGAGACGGAGACGTTGATGAGCTTTGATGGTTTGTTAACTTATATAAGATCGTGGTCGGCTTATCAGACAGCAAAGGAAAAGGGAGTTGAGCTTCTAAGGGAAGATGTGGTTGAAAAATTTAAGGTTGCTTGGGGTGAAGATCATGGCCCTAAAACTGCTAAGTTTCCAATTTATCTTAGAATTGGTAAAGTTGGAAATGTTTGAACACGTCTTGATAGTTACTTTTCTTTTCAAATGGTTTAGTGATTGAAATGTCACATTTTCACACGTTTGAATTTGTGCTCCTAAAGTATGATGTTTTCGTAAAACTATAAAATGAGTTGGTTTAACTAGTTATTTTCTACCTGCAGTGTGATGTTCTGTATAACTACAAACTCAGGTGGTTTGACTATATTTTCTAGTTTAAACTTTAAAATAATTTTAGAATTATCTATCATTCTATTTATAAGAGAAACATTATTTTTTAGATTTATTGAATAATCAATGAATATAGACTGTATAATAGATAAAATATATTAATTATTTAATAAATTTAAAATTTTAATTTTCTTTTATAAATAGGACTAGAGAGAATAATATTTAAAGAGATGTGTCTCATTAATATTTGAAGCTTGAGAATTTTGTGCACCTAATTGACACATTCAATTTCAAACTCACAAGGTAATGCATTGAAAAGTTAACTCCAATATTTTTAACTGAAATCTAAAAAAAAAAAAATATTACATAATGTTGTGAAAGTGAGATTTAGAAAATAGAGTATGATTGATTTCTTGATTAAAAAGAAAACCACAAAGTAAAGTGAAGAGAGAAAAGAATATTAATCTCAAACTTCAAATGAGAGTAACTAATTAATTTTCTTTAAAAGCGCCTAAAGTAAAGGAAAGAGAGAAAACAGAGTACGATCAATTTCTTGATTCAATTACACATTATGGTATAATATTTACAATTGAATTTCAGTCCACTACTACAAAACATACCTTGCGTAACATCAATTTTACAACGGTCATAATGTTAAACGTGGTAATAATTTATTTATGGGCGCTTTTTTTTTGGTATTTACTAAAGGGCATGTCACAATAGTCAAATGAAGCAATTGTGGTGAAAAGGTGCACGAGGTGAAATTGTTTGAATCCCATCACCTACAATTAGTCATTTATCGTGATAAAAATGTTATTGACCTTGTATATCACCATGATTTTTATTAGCAACCTGTTGTACCCCAAAATTTGACCAACCCTTTTTCTTGCATTTTGGCTTATCTTTCATTACATTTTAGCATCGTGCATTTGCATAGCATAATTCTTACAGGGGATCAAGTGATTGTTTGTGTGCCATCTAAGAGAAGAATCTTATTGGCTTCTAGCTCAAGCAAAGGCATTGATAGGTCATCAAGTGTGTGTTATCATCATGAAGTTGTCCAAGCTCCTTGAGAGGATAGGTGTGCTATAGCTCATTGTTTGAGAACCACCAAAGGGTTTGTCATGACTTCATAAGGTCCTATCATGGGTGTGAGCATGGGATAGAGGTTTGTTAAGTACCTCAAAGGCTATTTTGGAGTGGTGATGGTCATTCAATTCATCTGCAAAGGGCTTAAGCAGAAGAGCATGAAATCAGGGTTTCACATATAATCAGTCAAGACTTGTATTTGAAGTAAGACTTGTTTCCATAATCATTCATATGTGCTAAGGTGTTTGGAGGTAGAAGATTGATCATCAATTTCAACCAGAAGAGCTTCAATTGGTCAATCAATTGAAAATCACGAGATTTGGGGGAAAAGTCAACTGTGTAGTGAAAAAGTCAACTCTTGACTTCTTAAGGTTAAAATCATGTTCCTCAAGTCTAATGTGACCAATGGGTGAGATTTGATCAAGAAATATCAAGGGAATCATGAAAAATCAAGAAGTGTGAAACTTGCCACTTTTGGAAAATTAGGGTTTTAGAAACTTGCTATTTATGGAAAGTTTCATATGTGAATCAACCACTTTCCAAGCCATTTTTCTTCATGATCAAGGTTTCAGATGAACTTTTGTCCAACATCAAACTTGTTCCTCATGTTCCAAGATTTCTTTTGAGATCATCATCATGTGATGCTTGAAGCTCAGGTTATGGTGGTTCAAAGTTAGGGTTTTCAATAATCTCAAAATTAGCAAGTTTGGACAGATTTTTGGAGCCATTTTCCAAGCCAATTTTCATCAAGCTCTTGTTGTCAAATGAAACTTTGTCCTACATGAAAGTTGTAGATCTTGTTCCAAGCTTTCCATCCATTACTAGAAGTCTTTCATAGGATTCTTGAAGCTCAAGTTATGGATGTCCAAAGTTAGGGTTTCAAAAGGTTCAATGTTCATAACTTAGAATTTTTCTAAGTTATTTCTAGACAGCTTGCATGACATGGTTTTCAACATCATTTTCCATGGTCTTGCAAGTTGCAAATCAAGATGAATTTAACATCAAAATTGTTCCTTGCCATGCACTCTTTAATTTGAACCCAAGTTCTAAGCAAGAGAAGTCTTGTACACCAATATACCATTGCTCAAAGTTGATGATTCTGACATTTTCACAAGGCATGATATTTGGTTCATTTGGGCATGCTATTCACTCATTCATGCAGCACATTTTCCCTTCTCATTTCATGCGCATGAATTGGTATTGTATGCACTCCAAACATTACCAACCAAGCTTGTACTACATTGGTGTATTTTTGAATTTTATTACTCAAACAAGGAAGAGACAAGTTGCTCTTATTCTGAATTCATGCAGCCCTTTTGTTTTGTTCCTTCCACTCAAGAAAACAACCTCCAATGCAAGCATGCTCGTGTACTATTTCCATCACTCACCATTGATTCAAAAATCATGAAATTACAACATCTGATCCATCCATCTTTTACCACTGTTAAAACTTCATTTTCATGTTTTTCACCTCATATATAAGCTTAGCATAAACCTAGAAGGAGAGCAGCCATCATTTGAGCAAAAACCTGAGTTTCATATTCTTGCTTCTCTATGAAAATCCCTTCGAATCTCATAAACCATTGAGCCATTCAACAAGATTCTTTTCATTCCATCATCATCATAAGCTCTTCTTCCAACTGCTTGTAAAAAGAAGCCATTTTGTGCACATTGTTCCTCAACTGCTCAAAGTTGTTTGGAACTTTTGAAGGAGTATCAAGGCCATCTAAACTCACTTTCAACTCTCTCAAGCCACAAGGGTTCATTATGAACATTTTGGTGAAGCTTCAACACATATTGAAGAGGCAGTGGACCATTCTCCACTAGGTAAGAACCTATGAATTTTTCCTTTTTCCTACTTGTTTTCATTTGAGTTATGATGTGAGAATCATGTTCATGCTTGGTGTTTGAAGTCCTAAGGGGCATCATTTTGTTTCTGTTTGTTATTTGCTTAAGTTGTATATTGAAATCTCAGTTTGGAACCGTGACTTTGAGCTAACTTTTCTGTGCCCTAGAGTGCTCTATTATGGATATATTTGGCATGGTTTTGTTCCTTGCATTGTGGAGACCATTTTTGGTCTTTGAACTTTTGAAATCCATTGAATGATTGAGGAGTTATGATGATGGAAAGATGAGGGTACCACTCAGGTTTTTATTCGTGCATGCCTGGTTTTGTTTCATGTTCCATGAAGAAGACGATGAGTTGGCATTGGTTTTGATTGCATGGCCATTTAGGGCTGAGGTGGGCGCTGACGCATTTAATGAAACGCAGCGTTCCACCTCAAGGTTTTATTTTGTTTGATTTTATTGAGTTTAAGTGAATGGGCCTTAGTTGTTTTGCTATTCACACACGCATTTTTAGGCCCATGCGCGCATTTCAACTGACCTCAGTTCAAGTCCTAATTGCTACTGCACCCCCTTATTTGTTTATTTTATTTTTATTTCATTTAATTGCTAGTATTCATTTTAATCATTTTAAATTAGTTCCTTATTTCACAAAAATCCACAAAAATAGTTTTCTGTTATTTTGGTATGTCATTTAATTTTTCAATATTTTTATTTTTATTTTCCATTTATTTTATTATTTTATTTGGAATTATTGATTCAAGGTGTGTTTTGGTTTATACCCTAATTTGAATGGATCATTTGAATCCTATTGTTGAATCCCATATTAACTTGGCTTCTCCCTCACTTAGGTGAGGGATTGAGGCTCCTTTGAGGGTTGACTTGATTAATTGTTAGTCTTTTTTTCAATTGGTTTTGAATTGGTTTTTCTTGCCCCTCGATAAGGTGGAGCACCTCTAACAATGGATTTGTTTGGTGATGCCTTGAGGTGAGTTCCCTTTTGAAATTTTAGCTTCTGTTTGCCATTGAACTTGGCTACTTTGTGTAATTTACTTGGCATTTATTGAGCATTCCTCCTATTTTTGGTATTTGTTGCAAGTTGAGTCCTTTTATGGGGTGTTACACATACTAGTTGACCTAAAACTTTGGGATATGATCATGAGTGATTCCTTAACCACCTTTTGAGCTTTGTTGGTTCATTATAACATATTTGAGGTGTTGTTTCATCTTGTCATAAGTTATTTGAGTTTGTAGCTTGCATCACAAGTAATTTAGAATCATGCTTCTCCACTTGTCTTAAGTGTTGAGATTGTGGTAAAACTTTGGTTCTATCACTTCATATGATTATACTTGTGCTTTGTCTCTTGTGTTATGCTTGAATTGGGATCATTTCCATTATGATTCACTTCTGCCCTAAGGGGTTTACCACTTGTCCATGTTGATTTGGTGTTATCATTTATGCTTTGAGCTTTCCATGGACATTTGTCTTTGATTTGCATTGTTTTGTTTGCATTGCTTTGTGTAAATCTTAAGAATTGTTGGTTGAGATGTGCTTGTGGTGGTGGATGCCCCACACTTTTCCTCCCTCTTTTTCTTTGTGTATGCATCTTTTCTTTGCATCTCATATCTCTTGTTTGCATTGCATATTGACTTGTTTAAGTCAACTTTTTTTTCCTTTTATTTCATCTGTGAGTGAATTATTTAGTGTTTACTTGGCTTTTGGCCATGATCCCTCTAGGATTCCTAGTTCCTCTGTTTAAGATGGGAGTAGGAGAGACATTAGGTGTTCAATCCTATGCATGATAACATTAGGGTAGTTCTTCCCTTTCATCCTAACTTTAGGAGCATTGTGTATGACAACATTAGGGTCCAATTTCCCCTTAGTTTGTGTCTTTCTCTTCTCATCTCCTAAA